TCTTTAATCATCCATGTGTCAGTCTGTGGAGCATTTGTACAATTATGACTCAAAAAGTCTTCAATGAAACATAGAAATAATAATCACTCTTACTGTGTCCTACAGTTTTAGCTCTGTTGCATTGGTGTGCTCCTCATGATTTAAAACTGCAAAAATTGATTTGCTAAAAAGGAGTTGATGGACACAGCTACATAATGTCTGAACCTAAAAACTGAACATTAGGAAATCGTCCTAGGTTGAATGTTTTAAAGGAGACATATAACTTTTTATCTTAAGTTATAATAGCTGCATAGTCTATACAACATGTTTATGAAGATTTCATTAGTTTTATTGACAATTTCTGTACTTTCCAGAATGAGCTGTTTCAGGGCTCTGTCATTTTAAGAAAACAAGCTGGAACTAGCCATGCTCACCCCTTCCCTTCGCAGGCTACTATAAGCTGAAAAGCTCTGATTTCCAGGAGGACAAAGATTAGAGCTGCTGCTCCTCTAGCAGCTGCTCTCTCCTTCTTTTATTTTTAAAACAGTTTGTCTTGGGCACATACTAGCCAAATCCAAACACAGACAGTAAACAGATGGACAGGTTTTATTTCACATTTGGCATTTTTATAGATGCAGTAGAGACCCACACGACAGTACAAATAGCTGCAAAAGGTGACATTAAAAGAATACTTCCCTTTTAACACAACAAATATGAAAACTCTGCCTTCGTAGATGTATACATCAGTGTCGTCAGCATAACAAGTGACTTTTCTTCTATTATGTCTAATAATTTAACAAAGCATTAAAAATTGAAATAGTGCCAGTCCAAGCATTGAACCCTGTGAAAACTAAACCACTTTATTGTAATTAATGAAATATTTAAACAATCTTTCCACTAAATTATTTCAAACTGATTCATCTGGCATTTCTTTTGCTTTTTCTCTCCATGCATTCAATGGTAGGGTTTTCTCCAGGTACTCTGGTTTCTTTCCACATGCATGTTACTGGGTGGATAAAAAACATCTGCCAAATGTGTTTATAGGTGTTTGGTTTGACAAACAATAAATAAAGATGCAAATGAATAAATAGCATTGGTGTAAATTTTAATAAGTCATGATTCTTTTAAATTTTAGAAATAAAAATAAACCTGCTTTCTATCCTAGGTCAGATGATGGAGATTACAGGTCCAGGAGAGGGGTGCAGACATCCCTCCCCCCTAGTGAGACTTTTTAGATCCTAACTGAGAATTCCAAGGCACTCTCAGGCCAAAAAAGATATGTAATCCCCATAGCAAGTCCTGGGTCTATGTCGGGATCTCTTCTCTGTGGGACAAGCCTGTAAAACCTCCAGAGAAAACCAACTTCAAATTAGATGCTTGAACAATTCATTTATTCATTTGAGGAGGTCAACATCTATGTCGCTGCAGATGAAGCCTTGATCTGTTAGTCTTGCAGGGGCATGTCCAATGAGTGGCCTGGGGTAGCACATGCCACCCTTGGCTTCTGATTGGCCACCCTAGGTGCCACCCCACTGAGTTTCATGTAGATTCACTTTACGTTGTCCATAAAAAACTTGGGGTTACAGCATTCACTTTAACATTGGATATTGACATAAATAGTATTTAGAGTCCCAGTCCCACTCCACTCCAGTTGGTAGCACTAATGCACCAAGAAGTGGCTTGCTAACTACCACGAAGTAGCTCAAAGACAGAGAAAAAGGTGATCATGGCACAAAGCGGAACTCACAAATTCACTATAAAGACATAAAAAAGCATAACCATTGGTGCCACCCATCCATAAACAAGTGTCCTATGTGGGCTTCCCCATATTAAATGACCTGGGCAGTGGGCACGCAACTGTGGTCTAGATGACACCAAGACCCTAAAACTCCTCTACTTGTGTCAGTTTTCCTCCTTTATGATGGGTGGAACCTCAAAATATTATTTACTCTGTGTGAGAGGCTTGGTGTCTTGTGCATCCTAGAATGTGTCCATCCAGCGCAAATCATTTCTTGGGAAAGTGGTTGAAATTGAGAACACCACAAGGATCTGGGCAATTCTCCGGTTTGTCAAAAAGCTCCTGTTCCCTCTCTCTTCAATATTCCCTCTAGCCCCCCCCCCCCCCCCCCCCCCAATCCCAAGAAGGGAATGTAGGGGCAGATGGGCATGCCAGTAGTGTCAGCATTTCCAGTCAGATCAGCTGACGGATGTGCATCTCCTGTTTCCATTCCTGTTGGTGCACGGGTGAGGGGTGCTTGTGTGGAGGAGAAATGTGACAGAAATAGCACGCTTACAGCAACACCAACAAAGCATATCTATTTCATTATTAGGCCAACAAAGCAGGATTTAAAGGAGATAAAGGCACAGAGGAATCATGATTGATGCGATCATTTTGCTTTAAACGTGCACAGCTCTGAGAGTGAAGCTCCACATGGAAGGTTTTTGGACTTCTTGAGAAGTTCCACAAAAGAGAAGAATCTGAAATAGAGAAAAGCTATGGGAGAAGGAAACGGACGGAAACGTCATGGTAACAAAAGAGAAGCAAGGTGAAAATGAAGATGGAGGTTAAAGAAATGGTAAATTGAAGGAAATTCATGAAAAGACAAAAAAAGAATACTGAACTGGGGACAGCAAGACAAGAGAGAGATGAAAGAATGTGTGTGTGTGTGTGTGTGTGTGTGTGTGTGTGTGTGTGTGTGTGTGTGTGTGTGTGTGTGTGTGTGTGTGTGTGTGTGTGTGTGTGTGTGTGTGTGTGTGTGTGTGTGTGTGTGTGTGTGTGTGTGTGTGTGTGTGTGTGTGTGTGTGAGTGAGTGAGTTTATCTGTGTGTGTGTCTGGAGGGGTTGTGTTGCATGGATCTTGGCTGCTGTCAGGCTTGGGGACTCCCAGAGGAAGCCAGTCCGTGTTCAGTTTACAGTGAATGATTCCCTTCCTGCCCTGCACAGCCTAGCAGGCCACTGGTGTGTGTGTGTGTGTGTGTGTGTGTGTGTGTGTGTGTGTGTGTGTGTGTGTGTGTGTGTGTGTGTGTGTGTGTGTGTGTGTGTGTGTGTGTCTTCTCGTCTGTACATCATAGTGAGGACCAATGACAAGCTGCAATCTAGGACATTTGACATCCTAACTTTGGTACAATGTTACAGAGCTCTACTCGTCCGTTTTAGAGGTATAGTGTGAATTAAGTTTTAGTTAAGGTTAGGGTTAGGAATAGACTGGTTATGGTTAGAGTTAGGTTTAGGAGATCGTTCTCAATGGATTACCCCTGCCGCTCAATGGCTCCTCAAATTTTGGTATGGAAACCAAAGGTGTGCAAGCTCACTCAAAATCAGGTCAAATCTTGAGCATCTGATTTGTTTTTCTTTTTGGGAAGTTCATCTGCAAGTGATTGTTCCGAGAGGCCGTCGACAGTCAACCTATTGATATGCGATGCGCTGTGCACTGAGGCTTTTGTTATGTCTCAGTGAAGTCCAGATTTTACTGGAGTGTGTTGTTTTTTTGGTGGTGGGGGGGTATCTAGGGTTAAGTTTGGGGTCTAGGGTTTCAGTCAAAGTCATGGGCCTTGAGTTAGGACAAGGAGAAGGGTCAGGTGCATGGATTTTAGGATTGGGGTTAGCCACAATCCAGTCACTAAAATGAATGGAAGTCAACGACGGTCCTCACAATGAATGTAGATGAGAATGTGTGTGTGTGTGTGTGTGTGTGTGTGTGTGTGTGTGTGTGTGTGTGTGTGTGAGAGAGAGGCCTGATGGAAGATAAGTGGTGTTCTGTAAAAATGAAAGGTCAGATATCTATCTATCTGTCTGTCAGACCGTCCGTCCGTCTATCTATCAACAAGTAAGTGCAGATGGAACATCGAAACAAAGATGGTTTGTTTGACAGGATTCACTATTAAAGGGGTATTTTGAGGAATGCCAAAATACCCCTTTAATAGTGAATTTTGTCAAACCATCTTTGTTTCGATGTTCCATCTGCACTTTCTGTATTTGTTGTTATCAGTGCAAGTCAAGGAATTATGGAAGAAGATTGCTTTGCGGAAAACAGAAAAAAAAACTTACATCTGTGGTGCTTGGATGAGTTTCTGATCCTTATGAAAGAGTTCTGGAGGGTTCTGTCTCAAATCCACAATAACATGAAACTTGTCGGACAACCAGCTTGAGTCATCCTAAACATTTTAAATCATGTTCATGTTTCCTCCCGGAAATTTCTTCTGGCACATCAGCCTCTGAAGCGTCGGTCCAGGCCTTGCTCTGGCTCAGCCGTTGCACATTAAGGGAGGATTAGATGAAGAATGCATTTGCTTTCTTATTTTTCGGTTAAAATTTTGATCTGAGTCAAATGAGGTTGTCCAGTGTGTTCTACTATCACAGATTTAATGGTTATAACAGCAGAGAGTCCTGTTTTAGACTGAAAGCATAGACACATACACATTTTTGACAGATTTAGATCTAAAATTATTTAATGTCCCTTTTTGACCAGTGTTTATTTTAAATAATTGGTTTGAATTAACATGCAAATATTTAACATTTTATAAAAAATATGGTGAAATTCTTTCTAAGACTTTCAGCATCTCAGTGATGACGGATGTTAAGGTTGGGCTTAGGGGATCTTGTGTCATCCACTTCTGCTGAACTTGACTGCGATTTTTTTAGGAAACCTAAATGTTCATAAATAATTATCCCATTTATTTATTTATTTTCATTTATTTATTTTTGCGGAACCCAATCTGGGAAAACTCCACTTTTAAAACTGTTGCAATGCTGCCACCTGGTGGCAAAAACAAGTTTTTTCTACTGTTTGCATCCACAAAAGGCAAAAGTTCCACTTAAAGAAGTAAATTAATTACTAAAATAACATTTCAGTCCACAAACATGCATGCAGATCACAATGAGAAAATGCCATTTTTAAGACACCTTTAAAAGTGACTCGTTTGTGTCTTCTCCAGAAGAACAGCAGAGACTCATTCCTTGTTTTTGCATCCTGCTCACGTTAGAGGGCGATGTGGAGCCCATCCCAACAAATCAACATCACACAAGAGACAAACTATTTATTATTCATCAAATAAAGTTTTTGATCCATCAGTGTGCATCTGTAAATTATCTTGATAACATTGTTACAGTTTGCAGAAACAATGTAATGGCAGCGACTCTATAAATATTTACAGTTGTAGTGAAACGCTGTTAAAGTAAGGTGTTTGGACATTTGTGTACAACTGGGAAAAAGAAACCTGTTCTGTCACTTTTCCCGTGTCTTTCCAATCTTAACGTACATAACTCACTAAGTCTGCACTCAGACCCCTCACAGCTCAAAAATAACATTTGTTTGTCTTTAATATCTAAAATCCTCTTCCTCTGCACTGCAGTACATTTAAAAAGTCATTTTGCTGTTCCTTCTTAATTGTTTTGTTTGCAGACACAATCGACTGTAAGGCTTTTTTGTGCATGCTGAACATTTTTCCCTCAGTGGTGGAATTTCAGACCAAGGTTCAAAGTGAACACTCATTTACCAACACAAACATGTGCCTTTTCTGTTTGCAGTTAGAAAAAAAGTGCATACTTACAGGCATTAGCTCGTTTCTGTGGGCGATCAAACTAGATAGAGCTAACTATCATTACGTGTTTGCGTCATTTTATTTAACGAAACGTCAAGCATCACATAGCTAGTGAATAATGTGAATTACAATCTTCTATGTGTTTTGGTTCAAACGTTGCTTGTAGACCTTGGCAGAAAAAGGATGGCTTTCTGACCCGAGTGGGTGGACGGTCCCAGTTTGGGCTGACCGTTCCTCTTCAAGGCAACATACCAGCAGTATTTCTGAGAGCGATACGTGTTGTAGTTGTTCTCTTCGAAATTCTCCAGGAAGTAACACTCGTCGTTCAGTGTTTGCTGAGACAAGAAAGGAGCATGAATGGCAGAGGCAACAAAACCTTTATGACAAACTTGTACCTTCTGGCGATATCTCCTTATTTACCACTTTGACAGTGATTTTAATTATGCAAAAAGGATTGCTTAAATGAGATTTTTACAGTGGGAAATAATCAAAACAAAATTTTAAAAAGTGCAGAGTTAATGTGAGCTATCTCACCAATCACTGCCCAGATACTCTCTCCTGGAGGACTATCGAGGTTTCCTGGTTCACATGTGAGATGTTTTTGACCACATGCCTTAAAAACGTAAATCACTTAGAAACTCTCTTGGGATTAGATTTAAAACTATTCTGGAACTTTAAGCCACATATTACCTTTTTGCTGTTGAATATGGGAAGCTTGGAGTATCTAAAAGTCTGTGCCATCTATGATAAGCTTTCCCAATTAAACTAGTAATGTTGTAATGGCCACAGAGAAACGTTTTGCTCTGAGAAAAGCAGGTTTAACACTTTAGGAGCTTAGACACACACAATACATTTGCATGTCCCCACCCACTTTAGTGTCACCAACAAATGTTGGTCAGGTAATGCTAACTGCTGAACAATGCCACCCCAGGCTACTGCTAATGCTAGAAGGTACTTCTGACACTAGCCCGAGCCACTGCTAACATAAGCCCGAGCTACTGCTATTTCCTTGTTGGATGAGAGGAAAACAAAGAAGAATGTTGGAGCATACATCTAATGTTCCGGAATGTACTGGGAATACCAAGACTATGAATTAGAGTCAGATAGGTCAATAAGTTGTGGTCCCGTCCGACCGTGTACAGCTGCACACTTCCTTGTCCACGCCAAAGATGCACAGATAGATCTACAGCTTGCAGTTCTCATCCTCTTCCTTGTTTGTCACACTCACGCATACAAAGAACTAGCTTCAAATCGGTCTTTCCATTTTAGGACGTTATTATGGGGCATTGTTTGGCCACTAGGGCTCATGGATCATTGTGAGCCCCGGAAGTTTTTATCTGCTATAGAGGCTAAATGAGCCGCTTTTAATTGTGGAAACACTCTTAAGTGCACCTTTAAAGCTGCATTTTAGGTTAAGAATTAAAAAGCACAGAAATAAAAATACGACAATACAATTTTTTAATGGAATCTCCTGACCTAAAAATGTTAGAGGGATTCAGAGGGATTCTTGAGAAAGCTTGAGAGCTCTCATCAGTTAAAAAGCTTATCATGTTCTGTATTTCAAACAAAGAGAAGCCAAGCCCTGCAACATTTGTGTCATGATTTATGATCTCCCCATCCTAAATGTGTCTATGGAAGGTAAAAACTCACTGATCCATAGAGAAGTCCATTTTTGTTCATAGCCAGATACCTTCCTGTCGTCTCGCCTTTGATGACTACCATTCCTGCACTCACAGACGTCAGCCGCAAGGTTTCTGCAACATGCAACATCACACGGCCTCGTGACTTTCTGCAGCCATGTTGAGGATGAAATGGAAAAAAAAAACCAAACCCTCACATTGTAGCAGCTGATTTCCACTATTTACAAAAAAGAAGAATGGGAATCTAAATGTGTGCAAAGAGTAAAGCGTCTTGGTTATGTGTCCAAATCACCGAGGATCATCTCCTAGACAGCTGAGCATAAATACCTCTTACAAAAGCTCAGCTTGCAACAGAAATATTTAACTGGCTTATTTATGAGTCTGGCTAATTTAGTTCATTTTTCAACAGCCATAAAAATGGGAGTATCGGTAATGGAAAAACTTTCAACTGACATATTTGAAGCGTTGCACGCACTTGCTGCAATAAACATGCAACGCTGAAATACCGTGCTGATCTCAAATCATAAAATAAGACATGCAGATTCCTCACCATAAGGGTCATTCTCTCGCGTCCCACCATTCACTGTCCCATCTGGTAAAATCCTCAGATGATGTCCTCCGTTTCGACAGTAGAGCTTGATGAGTGAGCGCTGCCCCAGCTTGGACAAGTCAGGAGTCACTGGGACGAGCTGAAACACAGTAACTTCTCCCTCAGACATCCCAGATGGAGTTGTAGATGCAAGACAATGTTCCTGGACCTGTGAAGACCGAGGAGGAGATTCAGTTTCTTCTCCATCCATGTTATCTGGACGGGGTCTGAGCCACAAGGGGAAGCATAAACTTGGCCACAAAAATACATCAAATAGTCCCGATGTTCTTCTGTAAGCTGTTTCTGCTGCACTGTCATGAAATCAACCAGGGGACACATCTGGACTGAGTCCAAACAGAACGCAGTTGAAATGGGACAGAAAACGTTCTTTTGACTGTGCGGTAGTGGATGATCACTTCCAGATGGCTCTGATGCAATGTTGCACCTGAAATCAGTCCAAGGTCAGGCAACAAAACAAATAGCACATGGAGATTACAGGAAATTTGCTGCAATGCTCTTAAATGGGAAATATCACAACTTTTTTTTAAGTTATAAAAATTTTATTGTCTTTAAATACCATGTTTTTAAAGTTCTATCAGTTTCAACAGTTTTACCTCCCAGAATGAGCCGTTTCAGGGCTCTGTCACTTAAAAAAAACAAGCTGGAGCTGGCCACGCCCACCCATCCCTCGCTCAAGATGCTATAAGCTGAGAAGCTCCGATATCCAGGAGGGGCTCTGAGTAGAGTCAATGCTTCTCCAGCCTGAAGAGGTTAAAAGGTGGTTCTATGCTAATTTCCCTGTTTGTGACATCACAAATTGGGACTTTTTGAAACAGCTTGCTTTAGGCACATAGTAATTCCTAAATGCTAACACTGAGAGAAAACGAACTGTAGTGTATATGGATGCAACAAAGATACTCATGGCAGCACAAAGGTGATTTTTGCATATATCCCCTTTAGGTCCTGCTAGGAATGTTTATAAGTGCTAGAAACTCTGGAGTCGTTTTCTTCACAATGATCAAAACCAAATGTCTCACCAACCCGTCACATTCTCTGAACACGTTACATCAGTCAAGTCACTAGCAAAGACATCCAACCAACTCGTCTTGCTCCTTTCCTTTTACACTTTGATAGTCTGCTCCCGCACGTGTTCATCCAGCAGACATTTCAGTGTGGCCTATATATCCTGGAGAGCAGAGATCCCATAACGTTTGTCCTCTGCAATGAACAAAACCAGTTATGGATCCAGCAAGGAATGTTACGGTGACAGCTCTGGTCTTTGTTATCCTCTGTAAGCAGACGTATGTCTGCGACAGCGCCAAGTCACCCCACAAGCGGGATTTGTTGGATGAAACAAAAGCAAGGGAAAATGAAAGAGGAGGAAAGAAAGACACAAAAAGAATGTGAGGCCTAATCATTCAAACCACCAACAGACTGGTTTTCCTAAGAATATGACTGAAGGGATATTGGTGAAACACTGGTGAAGATGAAGAAGAATGGAATCTTCAGACACAGCAGCAGGTTGGAATGACGTCAAAAGTCCAACCGATGACTGAGCCAGAGTGTGGGAGGAAAGTTTTAACCTGCGTGTGTTCTAGGGAGGGGGTGGGAGTGTTCGTTTGAGAATATGTTGGAATTTAACTGGAATAAAGTTCAAAAAGGGAGGTTTGACAACTGATTTCACTCGAGCATCAAGAAAAGCACACCCATTTCAAATCCCTTTCAGAAAACTATCTCTAATATCACTGTGAAAAACTTTGTCCACTTGGAATGACTTCTGCTTTGTTGTTTTTTTCTTTTTGTCTCACGTAAATGCTTCTGATCAGCAAGGAAGTTTTAGTGCCATTCCAGCGCAAACAAAGAAAATTCAAGGTGCAATTTTCAAATGATGTTTTCATTGATTAGAGGGAATAATATGTCCAAACCAAGTTGGTCCTGAATGAAAACAAAAATGCTTTAAAAATTGTTAATTACCTGTGATTATTATAAAGCTGAGTTTGGATCAACCGTATTTCAGGCTGGTAAAAACCAGACCTGTAAGAAAAAAAAAACAATCACTTCAACAGAACCTGTCTGACATCATATATTAGACTAAAAGATCTCAAAAAGCAACACATCACGCACTGCTCTAAAGAAATCCAGCCAACACTTTATAATAAATGTCTCTTTATTGACATTTAGTGCATTATTAAGCATTAATAAACTGTTAAATAAAGCATTATCAACTCTTTAACCATATTACGTAATGCATTACTAAGCAGACCAACTCCCCCTGCCCTTTGCCTTAACCTTAAGAACACTTAATAGTTAACAATAACGGTAACATTACTAAAAGGACCCTTTATCAATACTTAATAATAAACTAAGTAACGTTTATAAAATGATCTTTTGTTTATTAATGCTTAATAATGAACTAAGTAATGTTACTAAAAGGGCCTTTTATTTATTGATACTCAATAATGCACTATGTAACATTAATAAAGAGACTCATTATAAAATTTATGGAAATCCAAAAGAGCTCAGAACAACATCTAATGGAGTCCAGGGTTAGGGGTTATGGTTAAGGTCAAAGGTCAAAAGAACACAAAAGCTTTGTCACATTTACCAAAAACATCTAGATGAAGTTTTCAGAAAACATTCTGCGGAGTGACACAACCAATGTGGAACTTTCTGGAAGGTGTGTGTCCCGTTACAGCAAAGGAGCATCAACAGTCAGACAAAGTAGCCTGTGTGATGTGTGATGATCTGGGGCTGCTGTGCTGAAAGATTTTTCAGGAATTTTAAGTCAGAGTTTTGTAAAGAATTGTTATGATTCTACTGGAGAGAGGCTCTCAAGAAAGAGGACAGATTTAGCTGATGTCTCATGAAGGCTGAGCTGGAAACAAGACGTTCTTTTGCTCTAGGATGTCTTCTAGAACTAAAATCAAGTTTCTGCTGAGGGAGGCAGAATACATCAGATGCACGCAGGTTGTGGAAGTTCTCATTTATGCAAGAACTTTGCAAAAAATAAAAGGAATCAGGTCAACTTGAAACATGTGAGGGTTGAAGACAACAATTTGAAAAATATAAAAGAACATTTGAGCTGTTGTTTTTCCGTTTACACGTGCCCATTTTATAGGAATAAACTAAATAAACACATGAGAGTCATTATGAGAGTATTCCTGCCTACCTGTGAGAGAGTCACCTTCCTGGCCTTCACTTAACTGAGGTCTGGTTGAAACAAGCTTTCTTTCCTTAAGATCTCTTATGGAGAAATGCCTCCTTCCTCCCTCTCCTCACCCCACCACCCCTCTAACAACGTCAGAGGATGAATTTTAACAGGACAACGTCAGGACTATAATTACCACCCTCAGTCAGCGGAGGAGGCTGAGTGAGGGAGAGTGATGCGTGTCTGGGTGGTGGGATCAGGCTAGAACCTGGAACTCAGGACTGTGTCCTGATGAAAAAACATTTTAAACATAATAGAAGTGCTTTTGTTTTCATCTTGGGTTTAGTTTACACAAATCTGCTTCACACACACGCAAATGTAAAACACAAGGTCTTCAAAAGTAAAAAAAAAATGTTGAATCAGATTCCTGGTGTGTAACTCTGTGGGATTAAATAAACCAATAATGAATCCAGGTGTAAGGGTAACTTCTGGTCAATCAAAATACAGGATAAATGAAGACAATGGTTGTGATGGAAACAAAAGGTTTAAGGTTAATAAATGAATGCATGTTTAAAAAATACAAACCTTTACTTTTGTATACCATTAGGTGGCAAAAGTGTTTCACTTCAGTGACAATAGTGAGCTTTAGGTTGGGAGAATGTAAGAATAAACAAAAGATAAAGTGTGATACTTACAATTTTTTTTATCTATATTTCAAAATAAAGGCTCTGTGTCGTGGAGCTTAGCTCTGTTTATGAAAGTAAAATGTTAAAATGAGACTTTAAACAAAATCTCTTTAAGAGCTCACCCGACACATTTACAATTTGATCCTGAATAACGTTTGTGTCCACAGAACTACCCAGTTACTGGAACAAACACAGTTTCAGGAAATAAAGAGGTGTTTACTTGCTTTGTTTTTCTTTATTTAACCTTGAAAAATGAAGGATGGACTCTGAAATGAGGAAGTGAACAAATCATTATAAATGCTCATAAATGAAGAAAAAAAAAACACAGATGGTATTTTATTAGAATAAAAACAAATGTTCACACTACTTTCAAATTCAGGAGCTTTACGATACACTGAAATATATAAAAGCTTTCAATGAAACATTTTCACTTGCAGGAAGATCATTCATCTGCTGATTAAAGATGATTTTGAGTCCTTTTGCAGGACGTCGGACCACTGATAAATGATAAATGACCCGCACTTGTATAGCGCCTCTCAGAGTAAGGACTCCAAAGCGCTTTTCACTACAGTGTATCATTCATCCATTCACACACACATTCACACACTGGTGGTGATGAGCTACAATGTAGCCACAGCTGCCATGGGGTGCACTGACAGAGGCGAGGCTGCCGTGCACAGGCGCCACCGGTCCCTCCGACCACCACCAGCAGGCAAGGTGGGTTAAGTGTTTTGCCCAAGGACACAACAGCAGAGTTCTCTGTTTGGAGCCGGGATCAAACCTGCAACCTTCCGATTACTGGACAATCCGCTCAACCTGTTGAGCTACTGCTGCCCCAGCTACTGAGACGATGTAGGTTTAGAAATAGTGAAAATATTTTCTTATTTGAGAGAAGTCTGGTGGCATTGAAACAAATCAGGATTATTATTACCATTAAAATAAACATGTTTAATTTCAAGATAAAACTGCTTTTAAACAAAGCTGTAGAACAGTTTCAAGTCTTTATTTATATCAGACCCATGTTCTGTTTAATGATAAAAATTTAGGACATACTGTAAATATTTCTACATTTTTGTCTTATCAGTGACAAAACCCTGCGATGGACTGGCACTCTGTCCAGGGTGTACCCCGCCTGATTGCCCATTGACCGCTGGAGATAGGCACCAGCCCCATCCCCCCACCCCCCAACCCTACATGGACAAGCGGGTTCAGACAATGGATGGATGGATGGAGTGACAAAACGCAGCAGCTGCAAGCTTTAAATAAAAGTCTGCAGGCCATGTACCTGATTGTAAACGGGATAAATCTGGTTCTTTGAATTGAAACACAAACAGCAGAGTACTTCCTGTAAGTACTCAGCTCACCCTGGACAGAAAAGAGCATGCAACCAGATGCTGTGCCGGGGAAGGAAGCAGCGCCTCTAAATCGAGCTTGACAACAAAGCGCATGTGTCAATGTCACGCAATTTATTCAGAGTATACATCTTTGAAATTTAGAGTAAATTAGTACATTTTATTCCTAAATAAATGTCTTGCATTTATCAACCGGTTTTTAAAGTAAAAAAATATGATTCAAGGCTCTAAATAGGAAGTGTTTTATTTATTTTCCCTTGTGAGAAGAACAACACAGGACTAATAGTAACAAAACTAATTATAGCAACCAAATGAATAACTTTGTTTGTCCAACATGTGATTGATAAACTACAAACATGTATCACTGTAATATTTTTGATTATAAAGAAGGCAGCCTTGCTCTAAAAATATTCAGATTTTCAAAATAAAATGAAGTTACTGCAGTCCTGCATACAACCACTAGAGGGAGGTAGATTTAACACTGGCAGAATCTTTTTGGGCAGAAACAGCGCTCTGGTTAAAGTGACGTCAGCTTCCCCTCCTACTATGTACTGCAAAAGATCGTCTATGTTTCTAAAGATGCTTTCAAAGATTCGAACGCAACAGTCACCAAACAGAGTGAGTAGCTTGTCTCACCAAATTGATGTCATCAAACCAGACAAGAAGAAGAAGAAAAATGGCTGCGAGTTTAGCGAGATTCACATCCTTCATCCAGAAGGAAAGAAGGAATTTTAATTGTGGAGAAAACCACCATGAATCTGACTCCAGGGAGATTAAGAATATGCTGAGGGAGAATAATTCACAACCTGACGTCATATATGCGACTTCAGATTTGAAGTCGCATTTTTACAACCAAACACATCTCCATGACAAACACAGTTGAACCAAAATTATTTCTTATTTCAATTGAAGTGCAAAACATGTGATTCAGGGCGAAAAGAAACAAAACCAGAGTGAGCACTCTTTACTTTTCTACAATCTTTGAAGTAGTTTACGCGCACCCACCCAAACGGGTCAAGCGCTTGAATCCAGGCATCTGATTGGCTAACGCATACATCAGTCAGCTGATTGTGCGCGTTGGAGTGGTGTGCGACTAGCGGAGCTGTGGATAAACTAGTTCTTTAAAGCTGCCCAGCCAACGCAGCGGTGTGCGGGGTGAGTTTTTGTCTTCCCGCTCCCTCCACCCTCCCCCAGTCTGGTTGGACTGTCCCGTCAGGAATGGCTCGTCTGATAGGAACTGAGCAAGGGGACTCCTTTTGGCGCACCAGGCACTTAACTGCGGCGACCTGTTATTTTATTTAAGTAGGTCGTGTCGTGTTGCGAAAACAAGAGAACTACCGTTTGCGTCGGAGACAGAATAATGTTGGTGGACAGTTGCCTCAGGAACATCTCCGCCTTGTTTACGTTTTATTTGACATCACAAGTAGACGAAGAAGCAGCCTAGTGAGATTCTCCCACTACCTCCTCCGCATCTCTCATCCCTCCGTTCGCCTTCGCCGGGTTGTCCTGCTCGTTTCGTGGCCGGTGGAGGGGCAGAAGATGGGACTACCCGCTCTGGAGTTCAGTGACTGCTACCTGGACAGCCCTCTGTTCAGAGAGAGGCTCAAGTCCCACGAGCTGGAGCTGGACAAGACCAACAAGTTCATCAAGGAGCTGATTAAAGACGGCAAGGCGCTGATCCAGGCTTTGAAAAGTAAGTAAAGGTGGACCGGTGTGAGGGAACCACTCATCTGCTATCATCAGCTTATGGGACTTTCTTTGGAAGTTTTAGAGTACCCTGATGCGTCAGAATTCCCAATTAGATGTACTGGTTTGGTGTCTGTGAATGAATTCCCGGGCAAAGTGGTGAAGCCAGAATCTAAAGGAGCCAAATTATGTTTATACTTGTAAGAAATCTGCTTGTGCACCCATTGCACAGTGACGCTGGGAAAGAAAGGTATTTGAATAAAAACAAATGTTCAGTATTTGAATGGTGTTCCTGCAGACAGTCTAAGCTAATGTGATGCATACCAGGACCAAAAATGTAGATATAAAAACCAACAAAAGATGCACCAGTTTTGGTTTTCAAGACCAATACAGACGTTTGATTTTTTCTAGAGCTCAGACCTTCCTAAAATTTTCTGATATAATTTATCTCAAAGAACATTCATGTAAAGAAAACTTTTTAAAAATGTCTATCATTCTTAAAATTTCTGCGTGACAATGAAAGTAATTATAATTTAATAAATTATGTCTTCTTCCAGGATTGCTGTGACACTTATCCTGGATTGTAATTTAATTTTGGAATTTATATTGTGGGATTTAAAAGTACAGAAACGCCCCCAAATCACTGTCTGGTGATTGGAATATAAAGTCAATATTAAGCATAATTGTCTTAATTGGCGATTGGCCGATCAGAAACTCATGCTAAATCACCCTAGCAATAACAGATCCTCCGCATGGATGTTTTTCTTTCTTATTCATACATTTTAAAGATGTTTAGAAATGAAAAAGATAAAGATGCACACTTCCAGGCCTTAAAAAAACCAAAGACGCCACCCCAATGAATGATCTAGGTTTGCTACAGTAAACTAGGTTCAGCAACATTACTTGCCCGAGGAATGAGGTCAACTGACTACTTGCGTGGACTGAACGACCCTGATTGCACGGTTATTTTCCAAGATAACAATTTCAGGATTCGTCAAATTTCAAATCCACAATTATTCTAAGAGTGGGGAGGGAGCAAGGGACATCGTTTTCACACCTTAACCCCATTGTGGATCTTTGGAGTGTGCTGGAGAAGGCCTTGCACAGTGTTTGGACTCTTCCATCCGTACAAGATCTTATAGAAAAACCAATGCAACTCTGCATGGAAATAAGTCCTGTGACATTGCAGAAGTTTATCAAAACAATGCCTCAGTAAATACATAATGTAGTCTACGCTAAAGGTGGTCCAACAAAATATTTGTGGGTAACCTTGTTTTGGTTTCTGTATTGATCACTAAATACAAATTAAAGCAAAATCTTGTGGCAAGGCGTGTGTTCTTATGCACCCCATTGCAAGTACAGTCGCTAGTTTATTTATCAGCTGCAGTCATTTTGTAACATAATCATCATTGTCAACTTTTTTTCTAAAGCACTCTCCATTGATCCGGAGATTAACCAAAGTGCTGTACATGCATAAAAGTGACATGAAAACATCAATGACCCCCTATTATCAATGTAGGGTCATCAATCAATTTGTTTGTCATGTATTGTCCCCATAAGCGTCACTGGGTTTATTAGTGCTTTCCTCCAGAGCTCTTGGATCGTTTAAGTGCAACACACTTTTCTGAAGGCCCAAGATGGTTTTTCAATATTTGAAAGTGTGTTTAGTTTAGTGTTTCAGCTTCAACTGCTAGCTGAACCTTTGTAGCTGGTGTTTTTAGTTTATGTGTGTGTGTGAGACATAATTACAGTGCTATTCTGAGAACTGATAGACAGGTCTCCATTGACGTGTTTGTTCAATGTGGTCACAATTTTCGAAAAGTTAATTAATTAATTAATTTTTTTGCAATACCGTGACTTTATCAAACCACCTAGATAACGTAATAACATTCTTAGAATTACTAATAGGTTTAAACATAAAAAAGCTGCAAGAACAACGCTAGAAAGCGTTGTGAACATTAGTGGTACACGGAATTTACAAGTGACTAACGGTATTAAAACGCTCTTATCTTGTTATTATAAACACACATAAAAATGGATTTTAATTGGAGCAGAATAGGATTAGAATTTTGCATCTTGAATGTTAAAGTGGTCTTAGAATTTAAAACCACATTGACCTGGATTTTGTGGAATTTAGGCAGCTTATGGTTTCTAGTGTACCACACCAAAACATCTGTGCTGTCTCCTACCCGCTTTCCTATCTAAATTAGGGATGTCCTGTTCCGATATTGATATCGGAAATAGGTTCAGTATCGCCCTAAAAACTGTATCGGATTATATTGGACTGCACCAAAAATCTCAGATGTATGGAGTCCGTTCTGCTTTAAATTCCATTCCAGCAATTCTTTCCAGCAGTGCCCAGATCTAACAGGCAAAGCCCACATGATCAGAACAGTGCACGCTAGCGAAGTAGAAAGGAACAAGAGTGATGTCGGCCATGTAGCAGTATTTTTCAATGTGGCTCAGTGCAACACTTGTTTCCTGTGGTGGAAAGGAACTGGGAAGTTTAATATGTCCAAACTCGTTGCACATTTGAATTAGCATCACATAATACTGCAGGAAGATTTTGGCTTTGTGTTTTTCATATTTACTGTTGATGGCTTTTGTTCTGAGTAATATCACTTGATCAAGCCTTGCATACATTCCACACCATGAAATAGATAAAGTACGTGTGGTTTGTGCTGATATTGTATCTGATTGATATCTGTATCGGTCAGTACTGAAGGCTGCAATATCCATATCGTATCAGAAGTGAAACTGTTGTATCGAGACATCCCTAATGTAGATTAGTAATTTTAACCTTCTAAGTGGCCTAGTGGTTGAGTGTCCACCCTGGGACTGGGAGGTCAAGGTTCATATCACAACCAGGCCTTTGCAAAGACCTTAAAAATAGGACCCTATGCCTCCCCTCTTGCCACTCCGCTTTAAGGGGTTGGACTGGGGGTTAAACCACCAAATGGTTCCCGAGCGCAGCCACTGCTACAACACACCGCTCCCCATGGGAATGGTTCAAATGCAGAGATTTAATTTCATCAGTGTGTGATGATGACTAACGGGACTTTTACTTTTGACTTTGATTTAAAGACCACAGAGAAATGGTTCATTATGAGGAAAGCCGGTTTAACGCTTCACCTACATTTGTATGTCCCAATCCACTTCAACATCAGCAAAATATAAACCTTGGTGCCAGTAATGCTAACTGCAAAAAACACTAGCCCAAGCTATTGCAAGCGCTAGCTAGCCAGAGCTACCGCTAACATCTTCGTTGGCCAAGGGGAAAACAAAGAAGAAAGTTGGAGCTCAAATGTAACGTGCCAGGATGAACTGGGAATATCCAGACTTTTGACTGAATGTCAGATAGATCTGTAGCGTGTCTATTCTGAGTTATCTGGCTAGGGTACTTGGCTGTACACAGAGTTTATATATTCAGGCTGTGTCATAGCCATCGGGGTAAACTGGCCAATCAGCACAGTTCTCACTGAATTTTTATGTCCTGACTGAGTGGGCATGGTTAACCAGTCTTTCTATTACTGGGCTCTATTATAGGGTTGTTTGACCATTCATCAGGGCTCCTGGGCCATTTTGAGCCACAAGAAAATAAGTAATCTAGAGTCCCAAAGAACTGTTTCCAATTGTAAAAAAAACCCAAAAACATTATCAGGGTTTTTCCTGGCTCAAATTGAGGCAGAGGTGGTACCATCCTGGCCATGTGCCAGCACATGCATACTCTGTGCGTTCAACTGCCTCACTTTTTTAAAGACAAAATATTAAATGCATTAGATTGGTGTTTAGTTCCCTTTTTTCCCATCTGATATTTATAGATAAAATATTTTTTAATATTTGACCTATATTTTCAGTAACATTTTAGGTTTGTGTTAACAACACTCATCTTAGTCTAAATAACACGTTTTGCCTTGCCCCCCCAAAATGCCTTGAAACGACCCTGGTGTTTTGAAGGTGATCTGAATTGTATCAGATGTATAAATATTACATGTGTATAACTTATTGTTTTATACAGGTAAAAACGTGTAGTGGAGATAAATCTAACTACATTTTACTTTCAAGCTTTGTTTTCTTGTTTTTATTTAACTATTTTTCTGTCCTCTCTGTCTCTCATCTTCCTGCATCTCCTCTAAATTCTCCAGAAAAACTGCTGCCTGGATCCTTATTTTTTCACCTCATCAGTTACTTTTGAGCAGATCAAAGGGATCTCCTGACTGCAAAGTGGAGTCCGCGTTTCGATGCTGCGTCAGTGAGGTGAAATCACTGCAGCACACGATGAGCAGAGCACGTCAGGAACGATTAAAAGACAGAATATCAGAGGATATAAACAGATATGAACGATCATGTGTTAATAATCATGTTTTGTTGCGCACCTTGAGAATGTATCGTGCGCCGGACGCACCAACGATCAGCGCTCTTGCGTCCTCTCCGCTCAACAGAATCCTGCTACGCTCAGAGTCCATAAATATTTTAATATAGGCAGAAACTGGATCTTTCCCTGAAAGATATCTAGCCCCCATAACTCGATCCCTGCTCCTGGATGAAAAACCGGACATTTTGATCAATGTAGGAACCCCCCCGACAGAGAGTGAAAAGTGGACATGTCCGGGGGAAAGAGGACGTATGGTCAGCCTACAATAGCACCAACCATACATATGTACCAACTAGTGAGAAAAGCTATTTTTGATCTTTTTCTGCGGCAGTTTTAGTGCTTTTTGGTGCACTGCTGCTGATACAGCACCCCTGTAGTGGCGCAACGCTGCAACTGCAGTTAAAATAACATCCATTTAGCTGGGTGCCGAGTGAAACCAGGCTGGGGCGGCACAAAAATAGCTGGAGGAGGCCGCCACGCAAATTTGAACGCCGGAAAAAAACCCTGATTATTCTAGGCCACCTTACAATCCTCAGTAATTGAGCCAGCATTGATTTAATCACAGATGATGAATCATAAATGGATGAACTTGTTCAACAATATTTAAAGTTGTATTTTTTGTTTGTAATGTA